ACAAAACTCTTATTTATGATATTTTCTCATTTTTACAATATTTAAATTTTTATCTGTTTATATATTTTGTGCCTTATTTTTATGATTGTATTATTATATTATATATTTAAAAATACAAATATTCTGTATTTATTGTAAACATATTTAAATGACTTCTTGTTTCACCAAATTTGGTCGATTAGTGAGGGGTGGGCTTAGTTTAGCGGTGGACGACACTAAACTACAGGTTGAGCTACACTTTTCTCCGTATATGGAGAATGTATAGTAAATAGCCGTTTGTGAGCTGACCCCTTGACCCTGACATCCGTCCTGGTCGTCCGCCTTATATATTTGGACTGAAAAAAGGTAATCTCCAGAGCACTGGCCGTCCGCTATATAACCACATGTAATGAATACAATATTTCCTGAAGAATATGAAAGTGATTGACCAGAATTAAGACAATATAACTATTAAATACATAAGACATAGATCTCAATGGTGACTAACCATTGAGGGAAGCGGCTACTACTGTCATTTCATTCACTTTTAGGAGTTCCGTTTGGTTCGATACGATCGCATAGTATAAATACTGTTCGTTTGAAAACGTGAATCCATTGCACGTCTTATTCCCATTTGTCTCCACGTTTTCATAAATATTTTCAAACTTTGAATTAGGTTTACATTTTAAGATTGAATTATAAAGTGTTTGCGTCTCCACTATTGGTGTCACGGCTTTACATATGAAATAAATGTATAAATCATTTAATATTGAATTCTTTTATCAAAACTTACGAATATTCTGTACGTTATGAGCGTTGGGAATAGTCTTATGAAGATTATGAGAACTGAGTGTAAACTCAGCCAAAATACAAACACTTTGTATATAGATATACAATAAGAAGATAAATATCATTTTAGATTCATTTAAGTTACTAGAAATTGTATACTAATTAAAAGGCTGCAATTAAAGTCAATCGACTGAAAAAATGATTTTTAGAGGTTTTTCAACTTTATATTAATACAATATTTCATTTCAGTTATCAGCTGTTATTTGGGCTGCAGACTAATGATGATTACAAATTTTATATTAACTAAATTGTAATTTTATATCCTTATAAATCACAGCTAAATTTAAATCATTATTTTTATAATTATAATTATTGTTTAGAAAAGCTAAGTTGAGTAATCACTAAATGAATGCTAGCTAAATAAATGTATATATTTGATACATTATTTAATCTAGTATAAATAAATAATTTTAATTTATTTAAAAATTATAATTAAATTTTATTTTATATAAAACTTAGATGAAGGTCTATGTCTCAAATGAATTGTAAAATGGTAAAATATTTTCTAATATAACGGATTTCTAAATAGAATGATCAGTATAATTTGTTTTCAAAATTGAGTTCAATTTTGTCTTCTCATTGATTGAAGACTTTTTATGACTTAAAGCCTCCGTGTCTTCAAACGTCTCAGGAAGTGGTCTGCAATGAGTTTCCGGTAAATTCATTGATAATACACAACATATTAGAGCCAATACTCCGCAAAATATAAGGGGAACTTTATCTCCAAAATATGACTAACCAAATACAAAATAGAAATTAAAATAAATAATGAAGTATTTAATTAGAAATCAATTACCAGTCCTATAAGATGTGGTGCAATGATGCCACCGATCCGGGAGAACATTTGACACAAACCAATGCCTGTACTCCGGACTACTGTCGGGAATATTTCTGCCGAATAGATATACATCAGTGTA